GATTCCCCAGGCTATAGAAGTGACGTTAACCATTCAAAGCCCAATGTTTATTATACGTACCACCTGTCTTAACACACTAAACTCTGCATTCTGCGCACAGGGTGCATTTGTGTGTTTGGTATTAATCTCATCAATAAACAGCGATTGTTTCCCTATAGAATATTAACCGGCTGTTCGTTAAAACGGAGACGTAATTTGTTCCCGGTGACGTACGAACTGAATTTTTGTATAATGTTAAAAATAAATTGACCGCCTCTGTGGTCTAGTGGTCAGAGTTCCTAGCTACAGATCTAGAGGTCCCGGGTTTGATTTTCGGCGCTACCAGATTTTCTGAGAAGTAGGGGATCTGGAACGTGGTCACTTAGCCTCGAGAGGATAACTGGGGAGCTATTTGAATGGAAAACTAGCGGCTCCGGTCTAGAAAACCGAAATTAACGACCGTGGGGATTCGTTGCACTGACCACGCGACATCCTATATCCGCTAAAGTTGGCACTAACTTCGCCGACAAGAGGCGGTTCCTTAGTCGGTATAGTTAGTTTGCGGACTACAGGCTACGGAGTTTGTTTTGTTTGTTAAAAATAAATTCAGTCTTTATAGAAAGAGAAAAGGAGTGAGAGAGATAGAAGGTACAGAAGAAGGGCAGAAGAAAGTGAAATCTCTTGGGAAAAGCAGGAGATTTTACTGTGACGAGGGAGAAAGAAAATCGTTTGTTAGAAAGTTCCCAGGCTTCGCCCGCTCCTCCGTCATTTACTTTTCTACTATATTTTCTACCATCCTCTCTCTCTCTCTCTCGCTCTCTCCAGTTTTATAATTTTGAGTATGATTTCAAAATTGACTACTGTTGGCGTTTGATGATAAGTATGAAGTGCTTTTCTGACAGCTTGGATATTCGTAATTTATCGTGGCATTTTCTTATCAACTTACACATGTACGTTATAATCAGAACCCGAAGAAAGATGAAGGACCACCTGGATGGCCTCGACCACCGCTTTGAGAACTCTATTCTGGAGGGCTATATACCGAGCAGGGTAGTAGAGTGGTACGCTGTGAACATGTATTCGAGAGGTGCTCTGTCTACATTTCGATCTGAACACCGGGTATCAAGACTGCTTTTTATTTTGTGTGGCTCTCAGTTCTAAATGCCGGGATAGTACTGCGATAAGACCATGCCAACTTCCTTTTAAATCCTTCCTAATTCATTACTCCCTCACCCTACTAACCTTGCATTTTCCTGAAAGTAAGTAAAGTAAGTAAAGCTGTCCCTGTACCAGGCCGTGAAGGCCCATAGGGTTGTGAGACGTTGAGGGTCCCACATTGTCTAGACAATCGGCTCAAAGATGGCGGTAAGGTTGTCAGCCTTACGCGCCGGCCGCGCTTTACTCCCCAGGAAAATTATTTATTTCATTCCTGGTACTCATTTCTGTTAGAGGCTGAGTGAACCCCAGGGCCATAGTGCGGCCGGCAGGATTAGGTCAACTGAAAAAATCCAATGACCTTATCGGTATTTGAACCCGCGACCTTCTGACTTGTAGCATACTGAGAAAAATCACAAAATGCCTCAGTGAGAATAGACGGTAACCCTACCAAGATTCGAATAGAGTACCTTCCGAATAAAAATCTTGAGCTTTACCGCTAAACCAAAGCAATCGTTGGTACAAAATTAATTAATGAATTACAAAGAATGTTTACATTTTCCAATAAAATGATTTGGGCCCAATTCTTTTTGTTAGTTTTACGCGATAGAATGAACCAAATTTTTTTTTTAAATGGTTTAATGGGAGAATTTAAGACGCAAAACAATTCGTAATCCAGTATTTCAACTGCTATCACCTTCCCGCAGATTTACACGAGTATGCAAATTATAATCAGAAATTTTTTACAGCTGCTCGTCACCCAAAATGTCTGACAGCTGCTGGTCTACACGGTTGATAATAATTGCGATCAAGAACAAGATTACAATGCATGTTACATGAAACTTACAAAGACTGATGAAATCCTGTTCATTCTCATCGGTCCATTACCCACCAGGCGATTTGAACCATTTCTTCATCGCATCGTGACTTTTCTTCGACATGTAACACAGAAATAAAGACGAAAAGACGTCCAGGCCTCTCTACCCTCTCTGCGTTAGCTACCAGAAAGTCGATTGACAAACTGCTTACGAAAGAAGAGGAAGCAGATATTATGAGGGGGAGAGGCGGTAGAGTGAAGCTATTGGTTTGCTAGACTGCTGTCTTTATAACGTGCGGCTTTTGTTTTGCCTGGAGATGGGAGAGGGTAATGTGAGGGGAAATAGGCCGACATTTCTTCCGTGTTTCTGTCAAGTGGAAGTAGTTTTAAGAAATATTATCCCATCGAAATGGAAGTGCTCCTTTCCTTTTTTGGTCTGGCCGTATTAGTCTATTATGTGCTCTTCGCGAAACGTGCATAAAATGAACCCATAATGGAGAGATCATGTCTATCCTGATGGTTACTCCATAGATTTCTGTTAAAGTTTGTATTTGCAGTCGATGCTAAAAGTTGTCAGACTTGAGGTTCTCATAGCTTTGGCTATGAAGAGTTCTATCATATTGGATATATTGCCGTGCAGTCTGGTGAAAACAAGCCGACGTTTCAGAGAGATTGTTGCCTCCATTTTCGGGGTCGAAGAGTAAGCCAATAAACAATCCTGAAATAGGCAGCAAGCAGTAGGCAGTATGATGCGGTGATGTGTTCTTTCGAAATGTTGAGTGACGTTTCTTGGCCTGTGAGGCATTGTACCCAGTGTGGGGAACCGTTCTTTGCACCAAAAACTGATTCAGAATTCTGTATGGTACATATGAGGTAAAGAATGAACAGGATTAGGTTTATTGTGGGTTTTGTATAGCAATAGATGGAACAGCAGCGAGCACGCGGTAGCGTAGTTGGTTGAGGCACTATGCCACAAGCCGGAAGGTCGCGGGATCGAATCCCAATGAGGTCATTGGATTTGTTTTCAATTTACCTAGTCCTTCCAGCCGCATTATAGCCCTGGGGTCGACTCAGCCTCTAACAGAAATGAGTACCAGGAATATTCTTGGAATGTTCTTGGGGGTAAAGAGCGGCCGGCGCGTAGGGCTGACAACCTTGCCGCCATCTATGTGCCGATTGGCTATAAAATGTGGGAACCTCAATATCTCACAACCCTATGGACCTCCACGGCCTGTTACAGGGGTAGCTTTACTTTTACTTTAATAGATGGGGCAGCAACAAATGACACAGCACATATGGAGCTCAAAAAGAGTGTGTGTGGGCAAAAATGATGCCTTTAACAGTTAATTAAATATTGGCAGAGGGTTTTGCGCATCAAAAATCTCATCATAGTCACGGTCGTTAGAAAAATCAAATGTCATGAGGGTATAAATATTAAAAGAAATTGTTATTCTCTCTTATCTTACCTTCTCCTCTCCTCTCTTCCTTTCTCATCTCGTCTCTTATCTTCTGTAATCCTTCTTTTTCTCATCTCGCCCAACTCTTCAATTCTGAACACAATACGATGCTTGTTTCCTGGTTTGTGTGTCACTGACAGTCACTACCACAAACGTGTTCACAAAACGATACGACTGTAACAAATGGTGGGTTGTTTAATTTCCGTGATACGCTGGCACGCATGGTTAAGCTGAAAGCACATGGCCGGCACACGTGAGTCTGTGGCTCACGTGTGGGGCCTCACCTCTTATGGCAGTTCATGAAACATGACCTAATCCGCCGGCTGCCTGTCGTACTTTCACCTCAGAGCCTTTCCTTCAATGCTGACCTTCAAACAAAAATGCGGTGCTGGCGGATAATACGTCCTCCACGGTTACTAGAACAGAACATTTTTAGGCCACGTTCTAAAGAAGACTGCAGAATGTCAGGAGCATTGTTCCCACCACTTTTGCATCCGGTTATATAACTCTGAACAGGATAATTTTTAATGAAAAATGTTTTCGTCGCCCATTTTAAGTCAGAACCACTTCCCAGCATTTTATGGAGGAAATGAGGAAAATCAGGGTAAGCTTCAGTCAGGATAACCGATCTCCGAGCCGAGAATCAAACCTAAGAGAACCGGAATACGAAGCAGGAATAGCTAAACACTCCGTCACAATGGTCAGTAAGACGGAAACGTCCTTGAGAAACTATTAATCACTGAGCTAGTCAGGAAATTAAGTCCTTTTTAGAACAAATCGAGGTTCGTATTTGTGTTGACAAGCGCCCGCCACCGGTCCACGTAAGCTATTCATTAAGACGTCTCTAATCCCAGTACCTATATCTTGTAACTCTTAACGTCCCGCTATTTATTCACAAAGCGATACGTATTCCCGTAGGACTAGGCTCCTAGCTGAACAACTGATGAATCGGAGATTTAATCCAGGCAGGAGTAGAAGATATTTCTCTTCTCCACAACGTCAAGAACGCCTCTGGAGCCCATCCAGCAACTCTTTCCTTGGGACAGTTAATTAAAACTGTCCGAGACCTTCAAAAGAGAAAGAAAGTCGCTACCCACACAACCACGACGTTCAGTAAGGAGCCTCTCTTGTCAATGGGAACGCAGATTACAAAAGAAGTGTATGCCTCACTGTATTCTGGGATCTGACCACATGTAGTTTGGTAGAAGTTTCACCGAATGGTTCAAAGGAACTTACGGCCATCATCTTCAGAGTCAAAGCGTCTGCTTCTTGGTTCCTGATTTCTTCCTTGGTTACTTGGCTTCTTCTTCGACCATGAATATGGAGACAGTAATTTTCTCTGAAACTTCTACCAAACGACATGAAGATACATCCCAGAAGACAATAAGGTAAAGTCATAATATTTTATCCAGGGGCCTGATTTCGGATAGCGTGGTTTAGGACTCAGTGGTAAACGCTAGATCCGAAAACTATTAGCCTCTATGTCTCTTATTGCCCCACAGGAAAGCTAGCATCCTGGAAACCATAAGGTTGTCATGAACGGGTTAATATTTATTTTTTTCCTTTCCTTAGTATTGTATTCTTGTGGAGTATTTATTTATCATATCCGTTTATACAAAAGAAGAAAGACATAAGATTGTCATTGCACACATCAGTATGTTGAATGTACACATGGTGGAGTTCCTCGAAGAAAATTATTTACAAGTCGGCCCTCTCAAGTCCGGCACTCCATGGTGTGGCAGGGGTTAAGTTCGCCGGACAGTACCTAACTGTGGCTTCAGGGAGACTATCAAGAAGTAGTTATGTTGGTGTTGCTTGTAAGCGAAGACATTGTTCCTTGTTCTTTGTACCAATAGCTTGAAACTGAGTAACAACACTAATATGATGGTTCTTCATATGTTTTTCATCGTAATACTTTGACCACCCTTGGTTCGGTAATTTCGCTGATCGGCCTCCGATCTTGTGTCAGGGGCGTCGGGTTTGAGAGGTCCCGACATATATTTTAACAATTCAGAATGCTATACATGTATTAATGTCTCAAAAAGAAAAATCAACTGGAAGTAGGTTGGTGTCTCTGAAGTTAGTTGTAAATTCATCCGTTGGGTAAATTTGTGAAGGCGTCCGAAAACAGGAAGCTTCGTAAGATGTCTCTGGCTGTTAAACGGAACTTCTAATGTAGTTTTATAAAAGGGCATTATAAGCTGGCAAGGCATTGTGTGGAGTCGCCAGTTTTCATACTGTGTGGCTGTGCACGCTTCATTTGACTGAGCATTGCATATGGAAAGGAGATGCTGAATTTAGTGCATCTGCTGCACTCATAACCAAGCAATCGTTCTGTTAAGTAAAAGGTGTGTATGTGAGAACGGAGATTTAGCTCCACATATTCTTAACCTTGGCACTAGATGCATCAGTTGGTGAACTTTCTAAAATATATGTCATGTTGCCTGAAACTGCGAATTTCGTCTAAATACAATGGGAAGTCATGCATTTTTTGCTATGCTGCAGCTATTTTTTTTTTCAAATTGAAGTGTATAGGATAAAGGATATTTAACTTCGGCCGGACAAAGAGACCTCAGAATTTCGTCGTCATGTTGTCTTCTTCTCATGGGCTGAAACAAAGTAAAAATATAAATTATATTTATTAATAATTGGAACTCCATCACTTCGACTGATGCCAATAAGCTTGAGCGCATCCAGCAGAAGTTTGCGTCCGTCTGTTTTTATCGTTTTTTCCCTCATATTTCATATAATTATACTGATGCTTTAGAGAAATTAAGTCTACAATCTTTACATAAACGGAGACATCACCTTGATGCACTTTTTCTTGTCCAGGTCTTTCGTGGTCTTAAATCCTGCTCTTCTATTTTGGAAAACGTTAGCCTTCGTGTTCCTCCCTGCAATCTTAGGGACTTCTCATGGTTTGGTGTTTGTCCCTCTAATAAACACTGTCCTTCTGCTCGGTGCGCCTATGCTATCAACACGGTGGGTAAAGATCTCGACATATTTGCAATCGGAAACGTTTCCGTCAATGACACTGAACCTAAAATTGTTAATAAAATTTGTTAATGATACTCTTAATATTACTTGTGTGTATATGGTCTTATTTTATTGTTCTCTCCTGTTAACGTTAACTTTAATTTTTCTTGGCATTATTATTTCCCT